TCTCTGCCGGCTCATGTAAGTCAGAGCTAGTTTATGTGGTCAGTGCTGTTTCCTTCTCCACTGGGTAACAAGCTGTAAGTCAGGGCCAGAATAAGGCTCACCTCGACTTTACCCAAACGCCGTGTATCGCTTCCTCTCCTCGCGGACTTCGCCGTAAGTGTGTCCGTCCTCCCGAGGAGGGACCGTGTTGGACATTCCTAAGGAGAAGTGACTCCTCATCCGTAAGGAGAGGAGTAAAGGTGTTCTAGTGTTAGTGCTTTGTTTGTTTAAAGCTCTTTTTGTGAAAGTAATTGCAAACACAGGAAATAAAGAAAGATAGAACAAAGAGCCCTCAGATACTTCTTTACCCAGACCGACCGTTAGAGTTGAACTCTACTCACTTAAGCATTTGTGCGCCTGGATTCCGAGTTTCCGACACACGCACAGATGAACCCAGACCTCACGCTTCCCGTACATACCCATACCTGCACACAAGTACACAGACACGGTAGATTACATACACCATGACCTTTCGCCCGAATACTTGACCGTGTATTTCCTGAGAAGTGGGATGTCCCCGTGCGCACCCCCAGAGGTACATGGCTTTCAGACACGGACCCTGATGCAGCACCGTTCCCTGGCCTGCTCGCCACGCTCCTGCGCTCAGCTGGCCTCCTGCCGTTCTCTGCAGCTTTCCGCCGCTGTAGAGGGCCGGTCTAGCCTCCTGCACTGCGTGTAGTGGCATGTGTCTCTAGCTCTCTGCAACCTGGAATGTTTCCGCGGCCTCTTATGACATTAACTTTTTTGAAGAGCACAGCTTCCTCCCTTCAGCCCCATGCTTTTGGTAACATTCCTCATTTTGCCAAACACCAAGATATATTTTTATTGAGAATCAGGGAGGTTTTTTGAGAAGGAGGTGGTCAAACCTGAACATTTTAATTGCAACTGAATTTCCTCTGTAAACTCTTTAATGTCCTTTCGGTCCAACCAGTTAAGGGCTGGGCTTGTCGCCTCCTGGCTGAGGGAGCTGGATCCCACGTGGCTGGCTGTGGTTTGACTCCCAGTCCCAGGAGGCTTGAAAAACACCAGGTGCGTGTGCGTGCCTCTCACTGCAGTAGAACTGGACATGGAGAAGGGGTCTCGAGATCACACCTCATTGGGGCTTTCCCCTCCCTCCCTCTCCTGGTTCTCCTGCTCTGTCTGGGAGTGCACATGCCCTCTGGCAGTGAATGTAAACAAAGAAATGTTCTGGTTCAATAATTGTCACTGAGGTGACATGATGGTATAGTTTTCCACTCCCTGGAATATGCTATTGCAGAAAGATTTGGACTTTGCTTTTGTAGTTTTACCAGCATATGAGAGTGCCCAGTTTTCCTCCTAACACGGAAGCTGTATTTTAGTTTATTTTATAAGCAGCGTTCCTATTGCCTTTTGGGAACATATTGTTAATGCATACCTCTTCATAGCAATGCTTCCTGCGGTGCCTCGGTGGTGTGACTGCTCCGCACTGATGTCTCATAGCCTCCGAGTTTCTGCCCAGTTGTTCGAATGGTTACCAGAGAGGCATTACTTGGCCTAGAAAGAATTTTTTAAAAGTTTTATGGGGACCACAATTGTGATAAATTCTCTTTCATTCTTAGGCTCCCCCTGCCAGAAACCCCAGTGGCTTGCCTTTTCTTACACTTGAGAATGAATCCCCCAGCTATCAGGGCTGTTACATGCAGCTGCTGTTGCAGAGTCCCAGGTCGAGTGTAAATAGCTGTGCACACACGTGGAAGGACATTGCGTTTCTCCCCCTCTAGCATTCTACAGGAGGTGGAGATGCTGACCAGGGCTGATTCGGAGGGGCTTAGGACCAGGACTGGCTTCTTGTTATCTCAGTCACAGAATCGAAACAACTGCTTTTCAGCATTGGTGACATACAAGCTACTCACTTTCAAAAACTCGTGCATTTTAAAGACTGGACATACGTGAGGTGTGACCATGGCAGGAGGTCGTGACTCAACGTGGTTGGGGTTGTTGGTTGAGGCCTGTGAGCCGGTGTTCAGGAAACTGAGGCAGGCTGCTCTGGCCAACCGGGTCGAGTGAAAGCTGACACTTCAGTGCTGTGTAGTTGGCAGTTAGCCATTACGTGGGCTTCATGTTGGAGTAAATGTTTTCAAGACCTAAATCTATAGGTGTACGAAACTGCCTTGTCTGCAGAATGAGAGTATATCTGAAGTTATATAATGATTTCTATTGCGCTTTTTTTTTTTTTTGAGAGGTTTTTGCTATAGGGTGCATCTGCTTGCCAGAAAGACAAGAGAGAGACAGAAAGTGAGAAAAATCATCCCCAGGGGGGATGGCCATGCCACAGTCCCTTCTCCATTCGCCTCTTGGGATCTTGGGCACGCAGGCACACGCGCCCGGCGTGATTTTAAGCCGCCGGGTCCAGGACTCGAACTGCGGTCAACTACATGGGAGTCCAGCAACATAGCCATTACGACAACTGCTGGTCCGGATTTCTGTGGTTTATATTGCCTTTTGTAAGGTTTTGAACGGGTAAGGTAATGATACACTTCTGAAATAAAACCTCTGAGAAGACGATGTACTGAGAAACCCGCTCTGCCCCCGCCTCCAGAGTCTGCTCACTGCCCTGTGTGGGTAAATGACTACACCCCGCTTAACACATACGTTTCTATTTTACTCTCTCTTTTGAATTTGCTGGAGGGGGCGTGCACACAAGAGAGAGAATGTGAGAAAGCCCCCACCCCATGGGGAAAGGGCTTCTTACAGTCTTCTCCACTCCATTTCTCCCTCCTTTTGGGACTTTGGGCTCACATTCACACGTGCCAGGCATATTCTCAGGCTGTCAGGTCTAGGACTCAGAACGACAGTCGGCCAGGGGGCGGGGCCCAACTGCCTTAATCACTGTGCCGCGGGTTAGCCCTTTCTCCCCCTTTCACACAAAGAATGCCTTCTTCGTTTAACAGTATCAGTGTTTTCTTCCTGTACATAAAACTCTTCCCAATCTCCTCTACTGGTAGTCGTTTTGTTTTGTTTGAGAGATTTATGCTGTAGGGCGTGTGTGCTTGCTGAAGACACAGAGAGACAGAAAGTGAGAAATCACCCCCCCCCCCCCCCCACCCCGGGGGATGGCCACACCACAATCCATTCTCCTTCATTCCCCTCCTGGGATTTTGGGCATGCACACATGTGCCCGGCGGGAGTTTCGAGCCGCCAGGTTTGGGACTCCACTGTGGACGGCCGTAACCACTTGGCCCCTGCTGACTTCCCCAGTGGGCTTTGTAATCAGATTGAAGCTGCAGATCTGTGGAGGAGTCACTGGCATGGAGGTGTAATAAGGAACAGTTTACATGTTAGCAAACTTTTTCAAATAATATTTTGAAAATGAAGGAATTAAGAAAAATAACGAAGTTGAAAATAATAGAAAAAAAAATTTCACTAGAATCTTTCTAAGCACTTCAGCCGTTGGCTCTGAAGGCCTTGGGGTCTGCAGGTTGAACAGGAAGGCTGGCATGCGTTGGACAGCTCAGATAGTGTTTCTTCCTCCTCTCCCTCTTTATTGCCAACATTTGTATTAAATTTTTTGAAAGTTTAGTTCTCTTATTGGATTAACTGTTGGGTCGTGGGAAAAGTCATGATGCATTTTTGCATAGAAAACCACGCCATGACTTTTCCTATGACCCAATAGATCACTCTTAAAAAAAAAAAAGTAAAAGACTTCAGGCTATATATGAACTCAAGAAGTGACTTAAATAGGGCCAGCAGGTGGTTAAGGTGCTGGACTTCCACATGACCGCAGTTTGCAACTCATGCCGGGTGCATATGCCTGTGTGCCTAAAATCCTGAGAGGAGAGTGGAGAAGGGACTTGGTGTGGCCATCCCCAGGTCATGAACCATTCGATTGACCATGTGGGATCCAGCTGCCTTAACCACTAGGCTACACGCTGGCCCAGTAATTTTTTTTTTTTTTTAAGAATTTTTAAAACTTTATTTATTAATTCTACACAACTTTCAAAATTTTTAGACTCAAGTAAACTCATACGTTAATTCCTTTTTTCCAAGAACTGCTTGAAGTCTTTCTTGTGTGTGTGTGCGTGTGTGTGTGTGTGTGTGTGTGTCCCAGGTCCTGAGAGGAGAATGGAGGAGAAGGGATTGTGGTGTGGCCATCCCCTCTGGGGGGTGATTTCTCACTTTCTGTCTCTCTCTCTGTCTTTCTAGCGAGCACATGTGCCCTATAGCAAAAACCTCTAAAAGAAAAAAATTTTATTTATTTATTTACTTATTTTAAAAATTTGACCAGAGAGGGACAGAGCGGGGGTGGGGGAGGAGTGGGAGAGCAAGCTGCCAGGTCCGGGACTCAAACCTCAGTCAGCCATGTGGGAGTCCAGTGCCCCTAGCCGCCATGCCACCTGTCTGCCCCTGGCCCAGTAGTTCTTAATACTTGCATTTAAACTCCATAGCTGCGGACCGAGCAGTTTCTCGGATTTTATTACTTTGTTCACCATTCCTATATCCATGAATTCTTAAGCAAACCCCCCATCCTGCCACCATCACCACCAAGAAAAGGCCTGTGGGTGTCAGCGGATATTATTTGTCTGTTATTTGTCTAATAATAAAATAGAAACTTGTTGAAAACGTACTCTAGAGTTCTAGGGAGAAAGTTCTTTTTTCTTGGAACTTTTGAAACATTGTCCTATTGCTGTCTGAGCTGATTTCCACAAACTCTTCGTTCTGTAGCTTCTCGTTCAGGGCAGTCTCTGCATATTTTTCTGCTTGCTTTTCCCCTAAAGGCACTTTCCCTTCATTTGCTTGGTCTGTGCCTGAGTGAGATTAATATAAGCTTCTCCCCAGTGTTGGCGATAAGAAGGTCTAGCTCCCAGTGAACGCATTTCAGAAGCTCATTTCTAAACGGCTGTGCTCCTGGTGCCGTCGGAGCAGTTTCTCTGTGGACTCTGCAAATACAGCTGAGCATCTCCAATGCCGACATTCGCTGTCTGCCCCTTTTGAGCGCTGACATGATGCTACCAGTGGTAAATCCCACACCTGACCTCATGGGATGGGGTCGCAGTCAGAATGCTTCCAGACAGAAGTGCTGTGTGGCCATGTGGGTAAGGAGTCTTTGACGACACGATTTGACTTGGGTCCCCTCCCCAAGGCTGCCTCATGATTGCGTCTGTGAAATATCCAACCCCTTTAAGATACTTCTGATTCCAAGCATTTTGGAGAAGGAACACACGACTTGTACATATAAATACGACATGAGGTACCTTTTTAAATGGATAGTTAAAATTTTGGTAGTTATTACTGAAGAGCCTCCTTGTGTCCGCACCAGCATGGTATGAGCTAGCTGCCATTTATTACAGCGGTAGTGGGTGTTACCCGTTTATGTAATCCTCAGGGACTGGTTATTTCTGGGTCACATGCTAGTGCCTTCCCTGCTGGTCACGAGCCTGTAAGCTCTTAGGGCAGGGCCGCTCTGTCTACCTTTTTCACCAGTGCCAATCATTGTGCATGGCATTTAGTAGGTACTAAATAATTATTGATGAAATGAATGAGTTAATGATTCTCTATTTGAAAAATCTAGTCTTACCCATTCTTGCCAGTGACTAATTTCTTTTTTTTTTTTTTTTTGAGGTTTTTGCTATAGGGTGTGTGCACTCACCAGACAGACAGAGAGAGACATAGAGACAGAAAGTGAGAAATCACCCCCCGGGGGGATGGTCATGCCGCAGTCCCCTCTTTTCCATTCTCCTCTCGGAATCTTGGGCACGCACACATACGCACCTGGTGTGAGTTTGAAGCCACCGGGTTCGGGACGCAAACTGTGGTCGACTACGTGGGAGTCCAGCGACATAGCCATTACGCTAACTGCTGGTCCCAACCAGTGACCAATTTCTTGATATTTCAAAGTGAATGTGAACTTGTAGGCCCTTGTCAAACTCACATCGGTGTAGTTTATCCAGTTGCTTTCCCAGGTCGCGTTGAGTCCACAACTAGGGCTGTGTCTGCCGAGTACATGTATCTGTGCATCATACTCAAATGCATTGTTTTAGAGGTTTTTGCAATAGGGCGTGTGCTCTCACCAGAGAGACAGAGAAGCAAGCAGTCACCACCTCCCAACCCCCAAGGGAGGATGGCCACACTGCAATCCTATCTCCTCGATTTACGTCTCAGGATTTTGGGCACACACGCACACATGCCCTGTGTGAGTTTTAAGCTACCGGGTCTCGGACTCATACCACAGTTGACTATGTGAGAGTCCCATGTCGTAACCATTACACCATCTGTTGGCCCCCATATGCACTTTTTAATATATATATATTTATATTTACAAATAAATAAATAAAGACTGACAGTCAGGATCATTAACATTCTCGTCCTTCCTGTTTGAACCACCTTTTCTGCTGTTCTTTAGTATGTTTGGCAGAGAAAACTGAAGTTAGTGATATGAGTCAGCAGAAAGGTAAATGTAACCATTGGAGTCACCTGTGAACCAGAAACTTCTGCAAGCAAGACTCTGTTTGGCGTACAGAATCGGCTTATTTCAAAATCACCTTTATGGATTTCATAGTGTTCTTGACAACTTACAGAAAAGGTTCCATAGTATTTTCTTTATTGTATTGATAATTGGAGAATACTGCCCCTGAGGATCTCCGCTGTGCACACTTCGTTTGCTTAACTGAGAAAGGGTTTGGGGGATTGTTACAAGGCACAACGTTTGGCCTTTTTTTCTTGGAGGCATGTAGTTTGTATGTTGTATGTGATCAAAGATTCTCTTATTTTTTTTCCAGTACATTTTTGGAGATTTTAGCCCTGATGAATTCAATCAGTTCTTTGTGACGCCTCGCTCCTCGGTTGAGGTAAGATGAGCCTGTTTGGTGAGAACGTGTGCGTATGTGCTGGGTGGTTTTGTTTCCATTTAGGCTCGGGTTGTCTTCCAGCAAAGCATTCTAATGTGCAGGAAAGTGCTGAGACTGCTGTGAGATCTGCCTTTGAGTTATTAACGTTTTTCTGTATTTGCTTTCAACTTTCCAAAAAAAAGATAGAAAACATTATCCTCCCCATCTTAGTCCTCTCCTTCCCCAGGAACAATGTCTCTGTTGAGACTGCTGAGGGTCGGCTCCTGACTGTGTACTCCCTTTCATTGCACGTGCGCACGCACACACGCACACACCGCCAGGCGGCCAGTTGTAGTGTGTTGTGTACTTCACCACATAACTGTATGCTTGTCGTTTGTAGTTTAAATCGACATTAGTTTGCTCCGGCCTGTCTGTGCGGATACATTTGTTCTGTTCTTTGATTTTAATGCCTCAATGCACTGATCAAACACCAGTTTATTTTCTCGTTTTCCTGGAGAGGACCATTTTGGTCTGTAGTTAAGCTGTTAGAAAGTGCTGCAGACAGCCAGTTTGCCCCTGTCTCCTGGTGCTCCTCCGTGGGTTTCTCCAGGGTATAGACCTAGGAGTGGAATTGCTGACTCTGCGGGGAATAAGCACCCCATTTTCCTGGAGGCTGCTGATCTGCTCTAAGGGTTTAACAGTCTGCAGTCCCATCAGCAGCATGAGAGCGTTTCCTCACGTGTGTGTGGGTGTGTGTGTGTGTGTGAGTGTGTGTGTAATCCTTACTAATTCTCACGATTGGAATACTGAGATGAAAGTTTTTTACTTATTTATTTAGACATTTTTGCTTTAGGGCGTGTATGCTCACAGAAGGGGGTTGGGGTGGGAGGACAGACTGGGTGGATGACCACGCTGCAATCACTTCTCCATTCTCCTCCCAGGATCTTGGGCATGCGTGCGTGCGCGCGCGCGCACACACACACACACCCACACACAGCGTGATTTTCAATCCATCAGGTCCAGGACTGGAACCATGGTTAGCCATGTGGGAGTCCAGTGATGCGTACCTGCTACACCATGTGCTGGCCCTGAAGTTAGAGTTTTGTTACTCTGCTGTGTAATAAGTACACTCTCATCGTTCTCATTTATATTTCCCGCATTACAGTTGGGCACTGTGCTTCCCACAAGCCTCTGGGTGACAGGTGTGCCCTTCTCTGAACCGCATGCCCTGGAGCCCTTGTCTGTATTTTAAATCAAGGGCTGTGCCTTTTTCTTACCTGCTTATTTATTTATTTATTTATTTTTAAGAGGTTTTTGCTATAGGGTGCATGCGCTCACCAGAAAGACAGATAAACACACAGAAAGCGGGAAATCACCCCCCAGGGGGGTTGGCCACGCCGCAATCCCTTCTCCTCCATTCTCTCGGGATCTTGGGCACGCATGCACACGCGTCCAACATGAGTTTAAGCCACCAGGTCCGGGACTCAAACCGCGGTCGACTGCATGGGAGTTCAGTGACATAACCATTACGCCAACTGCTGGTCCCAAGGGGAGTACATTTTTAACTTCAGTGTATTAGGTTTTTTCCCTTCAGGGTTTGTGAATTTTTAACCTCTCAAAGCATATTTAAGAAACTCTTCCCTTTGAGGTAATATGTCTGTTTTCTAGTATAAGTTGCGGAGTGTCTTCACACTCGTGTGTATAACACAGCTGAGGTAGAAGTAGCGATTTCTGTGTCTGAGGTGGGAAGCCGACCGCCCCTCCGAGGGCCTTCGCCAATTGTTTTGGCGCCAGTACCGAGAAATGACTCCCCCGTAGTCGGTAGACCTCCTCCACCAACATGTGGTCTGGCTCCGTGAGCCCTGCTCTGAGGCCCGTTGGCTGACCTGCTCAGCTGCACACCCCAGTTGCTGCAGCTTTGTACCCGTGCTTCCGATAGGACATGTACCCTCTTCTTAGCCCGACAAGTGTTTGGCTGTTCTTCACCCTCAGTTCTTTGTTCTGAGTTTATGGTCAGCCTGCCAAGGTCTGTAAAAACATCCTATTGAAATTTCAATTAGAGTTCCACTAAAAGTATGGATTGATTTGAAGGGGAAATCTTTATGATAATGAGCTTTCCTAGAAATTATTGTGTTTTATTTCACCATTCATTCAAGTCTAGTCAGTGTTTTCTTTTTATAGTTGCCAGGGTGTGTGTATGTGTGTTACCAGAGACAGATAGAGAAGCAGAAAGCGCCCTCTAGTGGCATATGGTCATGCCGCAGTCTCTTCTCTTCCATTTCTCCATCCCTTTGGGATTTTGGGCACCTGCACACATGGACCTGCTGTGTTTTTAAGCTTTTAGTGCTGAGAGTTGAACCTCTTGGTAGGCCATATTGAATCTGGCTCCCTTAACCACCAGGCCATGGGGTTGGCCCTTATTCAAGTCTTCTTATAAAATGTCCATTTTTCATGTGATGAATGATTTCCTTTTAGTTTAATAAAAACTGATCTTGGACACTTTTTTCAGATTTATATTTTAAATATGATATTGAAATTGTATTAAGAGGGAGGGAAAAGAGAGGAGAAGTAAGTGTATACTAAGTATAATTTTAGTTAACTTTTTTTTGGAGAGATTTTTGCTATAGGTGCATGTGCTCGCTAGAGAGACAGTAAGCAAAATATCACCTTCCCCAGGGAAATGGCCACGCCACAATCCCTTCTCTTTCATTCTCCTCTTAGGATTTTGGGCTTACACACATACGAAGCCAGTGTGAGTTCCAAGCCGCTGGGTCTGGGACTCAGACCGCAGTTGACCCTGTGGAAGTCTAGTGCCTAACCACTACACCTGCTGGCCCTGAATTTTAGTTTACTCTTTTTTTTTTGGAGAGGTTTTTCGCTATAGGGCGCGTGCGCTCGCCAGACAGAGAGAGACATAGAGACAGAAAGTGAGAAATCACCCCCCGGGGGGGGATGGTCACACCGCAACCCCTTCTCCATTCTCCTCTCGGGATCTTGGGCATGCACGCACACATGCCCGGCGTGAGTTTTAAGCCACCGGGTCCGGGACGGGAACTGCAGTCGACTACATGGGAGTCCAGCGACATAGCCATTACGCTAACTGCTGGTTCCCAGAATTTTAGTTTGCTCTTAATGAAGACTTTTAGGTCCCAGACTTTTAGGTCCCTTAATGGACAGCCGTGCAGAGGAGGATGCTTGCATACATACACATATTACGGACCTATGTATGGAGGTCTTTTATCTGGTAAGTGGAGTGTGGGAACCTGACCCTTAGACTGAGTGAAAAGGCCACCTGGCCACTTACCTGTGCCTTTGATGAGTCCTTCTCCCCTTTCACCTTGTCTGCCTGAATTCTGAACATTGCTTTGGAGTTGAGGTTGGATCAAACGAGAACACACCGAAAGCATTATTTAAGCTACTCAGATACAAGAGATCTATTACCTGTGTTCTTTCACCTTTGGAAAAAGGAGTCAAAGGAGACAGCGCTTATGTCAGATTCCAGTTTGGAAAGAGCAGGTGCAGCTCACTGTCTGCCCGTCCCATGCCCGTTGCTGTCTGTCTGCTGATGTTAGGGTTACGAATTCGAGCCAGGAGAGGGTGAGAGCTGTTACTGTCTTCATTTTCTGAGGCAATACGTACATCTATGCACTGTAGGGATCTCTATCACAAGAATTACAGTTTAGTATTTTCTTGTCATAAAACCCCAAATCTATTTAGGTTTCACACTCCTCGAGCGACGACGTTGAGTTCGTACTCTGCATTTTCTACTGAGTGAAAGGTTCAGGTCATTTCTGTCCTTGACTCACACAGCAAGGCGTGCTGGTACTTGTCAGGAA